GTCTACTAGAACATTAAAATACCTCGAAGACATCGTCTAACGTCTAATGTGTCTGTGCTTGGTCGTTCCTTTTGGTTTTACGGACAAAACGATTTCGTTACATATGTATCGTACGCTACCTTGTTATTGCAGTTTAAGAAAATACGGAAAATATTCGATCGCGAAGGGTTGACACTGTGACACGTGGGGGTACCAGGGTGCCCCGGAAACGGAATCTCCGCAGTATATTCGCGGAAATAAATAATTACGATCCAGTTCGGTTGTTTATAAATTTTAGAAACATAATAAATTGTAGACAAATTATATAGTATCATCAGAATCTAATTTTTATTGTTATTCTATTATTACGTTGAATTTCTGTGGAAATTAAATTAAATTAAATTGTTCTTATTAATTGACGACTCAATTATTTTTAGCAATATCGTACATCTCTCAGCTCAAAGACTGATTAACAAAAACCGAAAGAAAAGGATCGTAAATTATGTTCAATTATATTTTCAAGATGACTTCGTTATTCATTTCTGCGAATATTTCGCGACCGCGAGCGCTTCGCTCCCGTTTCCGGGCCATCCGGTAGACAAAATTCGCGCGACGCGTCGTTCGCGTCGCGCGATCCCGCTTCGATCATGCTCGACGAACTGCTCGACGCGGGTTAAGTATGAAGTTTTGAGCATTTTCAGGATTACAAACGGATGATCCCGCGAGTTCCATGTGGTTTAATCGTTGATCCGTCGGCGACCGAAATGCGAAACGTGCCCGGGCACACTATCGGACCACTCTCGGACACTCTATCCGATAAATATTGTTAATTGGTTCGTTAACGCGGCTCCACGGATGCTATCACAGCGGTCGGTGTGCTCCTGTGTCCGTTCTGATTTAGCCTCGCGGCGAGGAAGAAATTGGGGACCGGGACCGCGGTCGAGGAGAAGACCCGCGCGAGCTGCGAACCTCTCCGGCCTTTCTTCTTCAAGTTTCGGCCCAGTTTCTGGTAACTGGACGTGGTCGTGTTCGGCGACGGTAATTGGTAATTTACCGATTGGTAATTGGCGATCGCGCGTTCACGACGGTTCGCGTCGGTTTTCTCGGCAGAGTATGAAAACGCTTCGCAGAGGGAAAGCAATGAAGCTGATTCACGTCGGAGGTTCGAGTATCTTTAACGAAGGCATCGGTGGACCGCGGATTTTATGCATTTATGTTACAAATAATATAACCAGATCGAATGGAAAATGGCAAAAACATTCGAATCATTTCACTGTATACACTGTCGCATCGTGACGCCGAATTATTAACCCTTTGCGCTCGAACGGCGCCGCTAAAAATGTCCATAGCGCGTTTCAAAGTCATTTTGACATTATCGAATTTCTTTATATTTCAAAAACTGTAAATATCCTGCGACCAAATATCAATCAATTTTACGAACGCGTGAAATGCGATAAAAATCACGTCGAATGGAAATATCGCGGGTCGATGAAAGTATCTTGAATTTAGAGTCGAAGCGGACTTCGAAGGGTTGAAAAATCACCAAGGAAAGAAATAAATGTCTACGTAGCCCCTGCAATCTTGCAATGAATGAACACAATTTTTATTTTGCATAAAGATCCGCGGTCCGCTGATCGACGCGATAACGAATAATCGCTAAGCGATAATAATGAATAATCAATGTAACGAAGATGGGAAACGAAGATAAGAGTTTATAAAACAAAACAACAAAACATCGACGCCCGTTCTCCGCGATTCTTCCATTGAATATTGACGGTGTTGCACAGAGAATGACCGATTTCATTGACCGCGTTTTATCTCGCGATAAAAAAACGCAACCGGGAAAACTCCGATTTCTTGTAATATCGTTAACACACGCCTATCTTGTCGGCGAAAGTACATAGAATCGATTCGAGCATCGATTCATCGATTAACCATCGATCAATTAAACGGTTTATTATTTAAACTACGACGCGCGCCCCTAATCCTTCTCGCAGAGTGAACGCGCGGTTGCTTCGATGTGTCCGTGAATTTCATTCATTTAGCTTACGTCTATTACAGCCAACGGTGCCATAAAAATCGCACGATTACGTTCCCAGCTCGGTGTTACAGTAATATCTCCCTAATTGACGCTCGGACTGTCCACGGAAATCGACAATTTGGGAAGAGGAGACACGATTATTCGAGCCTTGCGGTTTGTTTTTATAGCTACGAACTGTCAACAATTATAAAAACGTATAATAAATCGAATAATCGTATCTTCTCTTCCGAAATTGTCCATTTTCGTGCACAATCTGAGCGTCGGTTACGGAGACATTACTGTAGATTGCCTGTCGATGAAGAACAACGATCGCCTCGACCCGAGAAATACGGTAACAAGATTCGAGATTCGTCCAAAAAAAAAATCGGCCATTCGGCTGTGCAACAGAGCGACTGGATCGTTTCAATTAAAAAATAGTTGGTTCGAAAACGAACGTATAAGAATCGGTCTCCTTGGCGACACTGCAAACGGGCCGGTTCCGGTGGTGTGCGGTCGCTCGGTGTCAAAAGCAAGGTTCACTGTCGATCGACACTCAAAAACCAGAGTACATAAATTAATATATTACATGTCGACTAAATAATAATAATAATAATAATAATAATAATAATTAGCATATACAAAAGACGTTGTGTGAGATAGACCGCCGGCGGACCAGTCCACGGCGGCAAAGAAAATTCTGTACGACGCGTGTTACAATCGAATACTTACTTTAATACGGTGAATTACAAAAGAAAATAATAGTAATAGTAATAATAATAATAATAATAATAATAATAATAATAATAATAGTAATAATAATAATAAGAGAAACAGAGAATAGAGAAAACAAAACAAAAAGGGTTCCTTTGCAAACGTCGAGAATCGTGCACATCGGCGAACTCGTACTCCCGCGGTGAATGGAAACAGAAGGGGGCGGGAGGGGGGAATAATACAAAAATAAAAATGATGAGAACGGAGGAGAAACTGATGAACACGGACAGCGACGAGTATTGCAGATCCTCGGTGGTAGTAATCGCTATAAACGGTATAACATATTTAAAATGGAGAACGAAAAGAGAAGAAGAAGAAGAAAAATTTCTAGCTACGTGCGTTACATCTTAGCTGTGGTCAAAGCGGTCGCTGTGAAACGCGAGGAAAACGTGTACGCGAGAAACGTAGAAGAATCCGGGATGAGAAAGCGCATAAAAAGTCCGAACTATACATCTAATAAGATCCGAATATTCGAACGATCGGCTCGTGACGCAATCAAAATCGGGATCGCGTTTAAAGAGAGACACGTGTTTGGCGCCCTGAAAGCGTGGAATGATTTCTATCCAGGTCCAAGGTGAAAAGCTCCCGCAGCGACGAATCGAATGAAAGCGTTCTCAATTCGCTAACAGAACAGCATTCTTACGCAGAAGAATCGACGAGGACATTCGATCACTCTTCTTCAGGATCTATCGATCGTGTCTTGAGATCTATCGCACTCGATACGTTCGACCGCCACGTGTGATCTATGTATAATATATCACCGAATAAATATTGGAAAATTAAGCTGGATTTTATTCGCGGCACGAAGTTAAATCGTGAAAACGCCTTGCGACGATGTCTGATCACGAAATTATATTTTTTAAGGTCGACCACCCGTCTGGTTAACGGATTAAAAATGGGCCCATTCGATTCTCCATAACGAAAGCTTTTTGCTCGAGTACATAGAAATCACTGCACACTCTTAACAAGAAGAAAAACAAATGTGATCGATGAACGGTACAATGTGATCGCAAAGTAGAGCCCCTGATAGACGAGCAGATTTTACTGGAAAGCTTTTTAATAAATCGGCGTTTAATGAAGTATCACTGGTGTAGAACAATATCGTTTGGTAACACAACGCATTCCAGTGGGTCTTCCCGGTTTCATATGGAAAGACGATGTGGTAAAAAGAATCTCATCTTTCGGAGAACATGGTTTCGATTAACACGTTGACTGCCAGACCAACTCTCCCTTATTAAAAAGTCCCACAAAGTCGAAACACACGCGTCTATCTTTTCAATGAAACGGCAACTTATAAGGCAATATTTATCACAGCAATTACTCATTTCAAGCTCATGGGCCCCAACTGAAGAACTCTCTAGAATCATTCGTTTTTCTTTTTTAGCGTTGAACCAATATCAGTGTCACCTACGTCCGGTTGGTGGGACGGTCAAAGTGTTGAATCACAATAATTATAATTATTATATAATAGTTATTATATATTAATTATTATTATCATATAATATGTTGGAGATTGAACGACGTTAACATGTTCCCTCTAACGCAAAAGCTTGGACGTTTCGTAAGCGTTAAATTATTATTCAATAACATGTTCGAATAATATTGAAAGACGGTTTAAAGAGAGAATTAAGAATCGTTCAAGAATCTCTCGATCGTGTTCGTGCTCGAGCCTCTTTTATCGGAGCGCTTGATGAATAATATCGGATCTAATTTACGGTCACGTTGTACCACTTTTCGTCGCGTCGGTGCCGACAAGCAACAAACAAATCGATGAGAGAAAACAGGAATCCTCGAATTTATCGTTTCGCGCGAACCTATCACTCGGTTTACAATCAATTACGAAGGCATGCGCGGTTAATATCTATTCCTTTACGAACCCTTTGCACCCGGCATATATTATCGAGACCAAATCGAACGAACAGATTCATAGAATTTGTCTATTTTATAGTCGACGGTATAACATTCTTCGAGCAAACAGTACGACGTATAGAAAAACGAGAACGCATTACAATATCATAAACTTTATATTATATATATATATTCATATATATATAGATTTATATATATATATATATCTTTCTTCCTCTCTCTTTCTCACTCTCTTTCTCTCGGTCCATTCTCTCTCACACGCGCGCGCACACATACACATCACTCGAAAATTTTCTTTCTTTTCTTCCGTTTAAACGTTACAGAGTATTATATAGATTTGTTCGTTTCTTTTTTTTTTTCGTTTTTTTAAACTTAACTTCGTAAATAACATTCGAAAACAAGGTCGCCGAGATGGCGGCGAAAGAAAGGAAATTTCGCGTGCAAAGGGTTTCACAACGAACTCCGTCTCGTGGACCCACGACTCTCTGGTACAATACAAGATCGCGATCGGGACCGGTCGTTTAACAGAACAGCGCCGACTCAACGTAAACATCTAATGAAGAACATCTTTGGGAACGATAACAGAGTAATGGAAAAAGAAAAAGAAAAAGAAAAAAAGAATCATTTGCTATAGATTCGATATAACAATAACAGAAAAATAGCCCTTAATTACATACACACCGATCGGATTATACGTACGCGTGTTTATATTAATAAATTAAGAACATTCAAGCTATATCGGACTGTTCTGTTAACAACAGCGATAAAAAAAAAACAAACGTTCTCCCGCAATCGATTTCACTTCATTTCACTTCATTCTTTTTTTTCGTTTTTGTTTATATCATTTTCTTAAATATCGTTTATAACACTCGCGGCTAAATTAAACATCTCTGCCCAGCTTCTCATGCTTTAACCGTTTGCACTCTCTTGTTCATTCAATAATAATATACACGGTGAATATAATAAATGCACGCGTTCGGGAGTCTTTCGAGATTCTTAAAAAAGAGAAAGAAAAAAAGGAAAAATCATAAATAATACTTGAACGTCCATCGAAACGTGAAAAGAAACAGATTCCAATCTCCGTCTGAAAGTCCCAACTGAACACGATCGTCGAAATCAATCGTCGCGTAAATGAATTTCACTGCGAGAGATCACCCTCGATCCGGCTGTTCTATTCGTGTCCGATTAAAATAGAAAGCAGTTCTTCGCGGTTAAAAATGTTTTCGTGATATTTAAACGAACGAGAAGTTCGCAATGAGTAATCATGGAATTTCTAAATGGCACATTTAATGATCGAGTTAGACGTAAAAAGTTGTATCGTGCAATAAAACTCTGCAGCAATTAAAATCAAGCAATCTCGTTTTGTATTGAAATTCAAGAACGCGAGTCCTCTTAAAAATCCTCTTTATTAAAACGTTCTATTCTTTATACTTGAACCGATGAATCTTCATCGTCCCATCGAACGATCGTTATTCGTCTGTGTCTTTCCATTTTTGGTCGTGCACGACACATCGTTCTATTTATATCAGTATAAGAGTATTTGCCTTTCGAAATAATAATAATACTGTATTTCTACAAGAACAATCGAACCCCGAAGGTTCGCCATCGTCATCGCGAAACTAAACATCCGAGTGCAAAGGATTAAATGCGATCAGTGCAATCAGCAGTTCCACTCTACCCATCCAAATGCGGTCAATTCTCCGCAATTTAGGCTCGGATTGTGCAAAAAAATGGACAATTTGAGAAGAGGTAGATACGATCGTCTGAGCCTCCCGGCTCGAATTAAGTTCTCCCTAATTCGCGCTCCGATTCTGCAGAAAAGTGGACAATTCAGGGAGAGTAGATGCGATTATAGAAAAACCTTGCGACTAGTTTTCATAGTTATACATTGTCGAGAACTATAAAAACGGGCCACGAGGTTACTTTATAATCGTATATAGCCTCCTCAAATTGAAAAATGGACAATTTGGGGAGAGTAGATACGATTATAGAACAACCTTGCGACTAGTTTTCATAGTTATAAATTGTCAAGAACTATAGAGACGAGTCACGAGGTTACTTTATAATCGTATCCAGCCTCCCCAAATTGTCCACATTTCTGCAGAATCCGAGCGCGAATTAGGGAGTATTTACCGCAACCGCGACTCCTCTCCCGAGAACGTCAATGTTGGTGCACGATCCGAGCGCGAATTAGGGCGAAATTAGCCGCACTCCGTCGCGCGACGCGATGGTGGCATTTTTCACGCGGGAAACTCTGACCGTGTCTCATAAATATTAATCCTTCTAATATCAATGAAGGGATGGTCTAGATGTTCTCTGCTTTAACCTAGCTAAAAACGCTTGCTCCCCGTCGTCCTCCGTCTTCGACAATATCCCACGGAAGCTTTCCGATCTGTACTTGTCCCTCAAGAACGTCCGCCTCTCCTCTTTGTACTTTTCTATCCTCTCGCGGCATTGCGGATCGCCCAGGTCCAGTCCGCTCAGGTTCTTCAGGTGAATCTTGTCGGAGTTGCACGACATGTTCGTACCGGCGCCGACGTTCGGCGTGGAGCTGTGCTGCGAGTCCTCGCAGGACTGTTTCACCGGCAGGGAGGCTTTCTCGGTCATCTTGTTGAACTTCGCCTCGTCCAGCGACCGGCTCAGGGACGCTCTGGTGGCCCTGGCGTGGCGCGCCCTGAGGCACGGCGGCAGATGCTGCGAGTTCAACGGCGACTCCTCGGACTTGCCCCTGGCGGTGTCCAACTCCTGCCTCATCTTCCGTTCCCTGACTATCTCCCGGCCGATCTCCGAGTCGAAGCTCCTCCGGTCCTTGCTGCTCTCGGTCTCGTACCTTCTTCTCGGTGGAATGGTCAGATCGCCGCCCACCATTCCGCCGGACAGTCGTTGCAACGCCAGTTCCTGAAGTATCGCCGCGGTGTCACGGAGAACGATCGAGTCGTCGACCGGCGAGGACGCGTTCGAGAACGTGCAGGACGAGTTCAAGGACGTGGTCTCGGACGCGCCCTCCGGCGGATGGGCGATCTCGCTGGGCTCCGCCGCGTTCTCCGACGGTATGATCACCTCGATGTGCTCCTGCGGCTGCGCGCTCTTCAGGTTGTTGCACTTCGGGCTCTCGTCGGCGCGCTGGTACTGTTTGTGCTGCTGACCGTTGTTCTTCGCCGGCTCCTTCCGCGGCACGTACTCGAAGCTTTGGCACTTATCCGTCTTGTTCGGGCAACGCGGCTTGTTATTGTCGGTCAGGGACAGATCGAGGTCCTTCTTGCTCGGCTTGCCGGTGAACGAGCGACGGTCGCTCTGGTACTGGGGCTTCTGGTGCAGCTGCAGGGAACGCCGGATGTCCTGTTGCTGGAACTCCGCGTTCCTCGAGGCTCCCTGCGCGTTCTCGAACGTCTCCTCCCCGAGGATCTGATCCTCCTTCACCGAGCTCTCGCTCCTATTGTACGCCTTCGTATTGTCTAATTGCGCGTAACACGTGGACACCTCGTGCACCATCTCGTTCGGCTTCTGGTTCAAACGAACGCTCGCTAGGCTGACGGTGCAGACCTTCTGGTTGCCGTTCTCGCGATCGTGCATCGCCGATTCGACCAGACCGTAGCTCCCTTGCCCGTTGAAGTTCCCGGAGGTTCTCTGAACCGAGCCGCCGTTGTGCTCCTCCAGATCTCTGTCGACGACGTCGAACGTCATCTCGCCGGACTCTTGGGGAAGGCTCGGGCTCTCGGTGAGGTCGCTGACCCCGATGCAAGACGTGTCCGTGTCCACCGTGGAGCCCATGGTCAGGTCCAAAGAGGTTCTCGAGACGTTCTCCGACATCGATCTAAGCTGCGGACAGTCGGTCGCTATGGCAAGGTTCACGGTGCCTTCCAAGGGGTCCTTGGGACTGCTCGAGTCGCTGGTGGGCGACGTGATCGATCCGGTCCTCTCGACTATCACCCATTCGCCGGAATCGTTCGTGTTCGACGCCATCTGTTGCGTTTCCGTGTTGGTGAACATCTTGTCGGAGCTGTCGCAGATCACGAAACCGGAGTCCGGTAGGTCCTCGATGGTCTGCTCGTAGGACATCGGCGAGTCGAGATCGGTGGCGCTAGACAACGGCATACCTTGCAGTTCGTTTCTGTGCGCGTTAGAGCTCTCGGCGAGGTCGTCGCCGTTCTGGCAGCTGATCGATTTGTTCGACGAGTCGCTGGTTCGCGCGTCTCTGTTCTCGCTGCGGGACGATTTGCTCTCGTCCGTCGGACACGAGCTCGATCTGTTCCCCGGGTCCTTGCAGCTGGACGTCGACTTGATCGATTCTACGGTGCTAGGGTGGGACATTAGCCTGTCGCAAGGCGTCATCTCCTGGTCGACGTCCGACGCTGCCAGGCTCGACTCCTTCTTCGCCGTCTTCTGAGCCTTGGAAGACTCCTTCTCGTCGTACAGGTCGACGCGTTTCTCGCACGTGATCATCCTCTCGCAGGACTTCCCGTTACTCTGGCCCTCTATGTTTACGGATAACCTATGACTAGGGTCGGATGATTTATCGGAAGACACGCTAGTTCTGTTCAGCTTGCTCGCGTTGCTCTGATCGTCGTCGATCTCTAACGGTAAGGTGAAGCTTCGGAAACTTATCCTAGGACTGTTGGCTGGGATCGGTGACGCGGAGTGCGGGGTGCCGTGCAACGTCGCCGGTGTCAACGGCGTCGACGCCTCGGACAACAACGGAAGGTACCCTGGCGTGGGTAATGGGGATGGGGTGTCCATGCTGTGCACGTCTGCGGATACCATCACCTACGGATACAAGGTAAAACGATCAGTACACGTTATGATTGTTAATGATCTGAATGATATTTTGGGACACTGGGTTTTAGACTTTATCGAAGGAAATTATAACTCAATTATTTCGAGTATTTAGCTTGCCAGGCTTTTTCTCTGAAAATTTCTTCCGATTTCGATTTTGGCGGCAGAGTTCGCTGACCATTGTTCTAGAATAATAGTACAATATACGCTGAAATAGATTGAATTGTAGGAAGCGGAGAGTAGAGAAGTGTGTCTTTTAAATAATGTTATTGCAGTATTTTATGTTCTGATAAGTAGCTCTCATTGTTGCTATTTTTAGACTACTAAAATATTATTTATTTGAATGGAGAACATTCACGCCTAGATTTTATATGATTTTATATTTCAATGGAACGTCTTCCATTTGACCCTTTCATAGGCACTGAGAACTATGCTTCGCACCCTCTTTTAATGCAGATAAGGACCACCAGGCTAAAATGTTTCCACCGTTGAAAATTCATATCGACGCGAAAGCCTTCGTAGCCCACAAAAGGATTAGAACCATTTGCAAATAACGACGAAGACATCGTTTCGTCAGAAATGAAATGTACCTGATCAGGACTTTGGCTATCAATGAAGCGCAACTCAACGTCGCATTGCAGTCTTTCCTCCAATCTCGATCTCTTCCTCTTCGATCCGCCGGTGTTCGCGGTATTCTGGGCCCCTTCCATCCTCTGCCTCCTCGGGGACGCCTCGACGGACGCGACGCCCCCGCTCTCCTCCTCGGAGAACATCCTCATCTCCCGTTCCTCGAGGTCGAAGTTGAGCTGTATCTCGGAGAGGTCGAGCGGGGAGGTCGGATTGGGCGCGTCCGCCAAATGATCGAAGTACGAGTCGTGGGAAACCGAGCGGCTGTGCCCGCAGGGCCTGGCCGGCGGCGGACCCAGAAGAGGGCCCAGGCTGTCCTCGCCGTCCAAACTGTCGGCGCTTTTCACCGGTCTCAACCGTCGCAACGAGTTTAAGGAACTTGGCACCGTTTCTGTTTGAGGTGGCGTGCCAACTTGTCTCGGTTTCCCCCTGGCACCCGGACCACCCCTACCAAACAAAGCTCTCCAGTTCAACGAGGGCGAGCGCTTCGAGCCGTTTCTCTTTCGCGGCAGCTCTATCACCGTGTGGTACTGCAACGACATCCCGGCTGGCCCGGCGCCCACCTCTATGTAATCCGGCTCGCCTCTCAGGCTTCTGTTCCGAGCCTCCTCCAGGCTCAGCAATCTCGCCGGCGTCGTGATCGCCAACGATTTCGGCCGTCCGACCGGGCCGTCGCCGAATATTAATTCCGCGTAACAAACTAAGAACTCCGTGACGACCGCCTGCACCCCGACACCCTGCAACGCCGCCACGCCGCCCACTTCCAGCTCCTTGCACCTCAACAGGTTCGGGGCCCACACGATGGCGATGTTCCGAGGCGTCATGCCGGTCTCCGTGCCGCGGGCCGCGACTCGCACCAAGTGCCGCATAAGATACTCTAATGTTCTGCAAACGTTTCACAATTTTAGGATATATTTTTAGCTTGTGTCTAGATCGTCTCGCGTATTCCAAGAATATGCTCTTTTCGTTTCTTAGACGTTTAAGAGAATTATTTGGAATCGACAGAACTTCCCTCGGAAGGGAAGACGCTCTTTGTCGAGCAGAATTTGTTTAATTTCCAATTCTTTAATGCGCAAACGCTAGAATGCAATTACTACCAAACGTAACACTTATTAGAATATGAAAGTCTACATTTTACAATTATCAGAGCTACATTGTGTATCGAAAAGTTACGTCGTCCGCGCGCGTTGTACAGTTAAATTCTTCCTCGAAAGAAGAAACGCATAATTTTGCGATTTACAATATCTTTGTAATTGTGACGATTTTTAGAATACTCGAATGGACGAGTATTTTATTCCTTTTAATATGAATAATCATAGATAAGAAATGTACGCGTTACACGCTGCGATAAATATTACTTTCTACTCAGAGAGTAACATTCGAATCTGAGAGCATCGTCTCGATATTCGCTTTCCGCCGAGTCCGATCCGGACGACGAAGACTCGCGGTATCTCGAGCACCCGAAAACGAATTTGTTCGCCGACGCGATGATGTACCTGTAGTGAGGTGGTGGTAATTTCCTAACGGTGTCCCTCATCCGCCTTAGTCTTTCCGCATCGGTGTTAGCCTGGACCGCGCTAACGAAAGTAGAATAAAGCTGGTATGTACAGAGTGGATTCGGCAGCTCTCTGAAGTACATTTTCAATAGGGACGCCACCGAGTGGATGTCTTGTAGAATACTTTCATCGGAATGCAATGCAGGAACACGATCCTCGTCGAACGCGTTTCGTAATCTCTGGATGTTCGACGTCACGCCGCTTAGACGGTATATGCCGTCGACCAGGCCATGCTTCTCGATGAACTCGGTGCAACATGTTAGAACGGTGGGCACTGCAATCGCAAACGTTGAAATTAGGGGATGACGTCGCGCCCTTCTGTACACGTTCGTTGAACAGACGAACAGTAAATTCTCCCCAATTTTCCTTCAGCTTGCAAACGAGAATAGACAATTGTGGAGGAGGTGGTACGATTATTCGAGGCTCGCTGTTCATTTTTACAGTTGCCGATTGTCAATAATTATAAAATAAAAACGAGCTACGAGGCTCGAATAATCGTATCTCCTCTTCTCAAGTTTTCGTTCACAAGCTGAAGGAAAATTAGAGAGAATTTACTGTACCTACCGGCAACATTTTACAGGAATTAAAAAAAAATCAAAGATTTTGTGGGTTTATTTATACAGTATAAATTGTATCGGTGACATTCGAGTGCAAAGGGTTAACTATCAGATATTCATCTGAATCAACGTTTCTCAGAAGTTACAGCAGAAGTTGCGTCACAAGGCCCAGCGAGCATCTTTCAAAAAATTAAAGAAGCTCTATGCTTGTTGACAGAAATATAACGGTTTGAATTCTTGGGCCACCAGTTTGTAGAAAGAGAGCATAAAAAGCAAGTGGTCCACGTACCATCGTGACCCGAATTCAACAGATGTTCGCCCAAGTCGCAACCGAACACACGCTCCTTCAAGATTCCAGACTGTTTCAATCGCCTCCTAGACGGTCTATTCAGAATAAACGATCTAAAGAAGGCGATCAGCTTCCCATGCTTCCTGAACACCGGCTTCACCGGCAGCTTCGACCTGACCGTCGTCGACACTGTCAGATGCCTCGGAACTTTGTCTCCTATCACGGCCACGCATTCCGCCGGAAAAAATCCGACCGCGAACCCGTGCTTCCCGCGCCACCACGTGCTTTCCCCTGGCGGAGGCATGTCTATCACGGATATCATGTCCCCGACCTGGAAATCAGAAAAATTATACGTCAGTTTCGTGCTCGGGCGTCGTTCGTTTGTTGTGCAATATTGCTTGCTCGCGAAGAGCAAGCTTGCTTTGCAAGTACAGTAATGTCTCTCTAATTGACGCTCAGATTGTCCACGAAAGTGGACAATCTGGGAAGAGGAGATACGATTGTTCGAGCCTTGCGGTTTATTTTTGTAGTTTTAAATTGTCCACAATTATAAAAATGAGCTGGAATAATCGTATCTGCTCTTCCCAAATTGTCCATTTTAGTGGACAATCTGAGCGTCAGTATGGGAGACATTACTGTATTCTCACCCCCAAAAAAGGAAAATAGTATTTGCATTGATTATATTGAATTGATAAAATAACAGAGCATTGAAGAAGACGATTAATGATCTTGGAATGACCTGAGGGGTTTTTTTTGTTCTATAAGAAGCTCTGTTGAAGATCTTCGAGCAATAATTATGCGATAGTAGCAAATGAATAACGATTCTCTGTTGAAGAACAATGGAGTACATACACTGTGTTAAGAATAAATATCGAGTACATGTTACTTCCACTCTATTTTGACGCTATGAACACTTCGCTGTCCCTAATTGTACTGGCTAGTTGTTTCCGTATTACAGCATTATCACATGGCTAGAGATTATTGTACATCGTAACCGCATCTATCGTCATTTCCTGGCGAATAAGTTGGCAATGCATTCAAGTATATATATGTAACTATGATAAGTGATGCCAGGATGTTATAAAACAAATAGAATGACCCTTCTGTGGCTAATACGGTTTCGTACAAATTTTAAAACCGTGCGTGTAAAAGATACAAGATGAATAGGAAAGAAATAGTCTGAACCATATCTGTGCTATAATATCGCTGTTGCAAGAGATTCAAGAAATTATGATTGCAAGAAGAACGCTGGATTATAACGGATAAAAGCTTGAGCTATGAGAAACTAGGAACGCGCTTATTTTTATCGTATTTAGAAATGTGATCAACAGCAACGTGAAAGATTCTATTGGGTTATTATGTTTCTCTGTTACACAGTGTACATAGGGTCTGTAATTATCATAAGTAATAAGCCTTTATAATTATGACGAGTAATAAGCCTTTATAATGATTACAAGTAACAAGCCTTTATAACGGTTACAAGTAACAAGTCTCTACAATTATTACAAGCAGAGAAGCCTCTAATAATGATTACAAGTAACAAGACATTCCTCATGCAAAATGAAACGGCAAGGGTGAATACAATTTTTCATCTCAATTATTCAGGGCTTAGTATTCCAATAGGAGAAAATCAAGTCTCAGAATTCCTCGAGTATGCCTGGCATTCGATTAAACGCTATGAGTACCCATAAGTAACATCATCATCATCAATATCATATTCTCAAGTTCAGCGAACACTGTTACCCTAGCCATAAACAATTATCTACCACCGTCTAACCGTCTATGTTTTACTTGAAATTCTGCCAGAGAGTTTAAATCAATCTGTCTCGCACGTTCAATAAAATATTATACAAGCAACAAAGAATTACATTACTTACAAGTACACGATACACTTGAAACATTGAAACTCGATTTTCTAGAAAATCAAGCCCTGGACGACGACATTTCTTTTTACACAAAGGCAGTCGAGTCATGCTTATTCATATTTTACAACAATTAAAGACTCTCTATGTTACACTATTTTACAATTTTACATCACTTACAAGTACACAATATACACTTTATACATTTTGAAACTCGACTATCTAGAAAATTCAGCCCTGGACGATATTTATCCTCGCACAAAGGCGATCATCGCGTGCTCGTTCCTTGCAACAATTACGACCTTCTATGTTACACTATTTTACAATGATCGCAACATCCACGGATCCGTAAGCCGGCACGAATCATTGCTTTCGCCGTGCGAAAGGATCCTGATAAAAACAAATGTTCCGTCGTTCCCCCAAGTTGATCCTTCGACGATCCTTTATCGATCGTCGTCGCGGCCGAAGCTTCTTCCGAAGCTCCTGCCTTTCGGCGAACGAGAGACGGGCCCGTTAATTTCGTCCCGTTTCTCGGCTAGAAAGTCTCTTTTCTCACCTGGAAGGATATTTCATCCGGTGCCTGTGCCACATACGGCCTGACTGCGTAAGCCGCGGCCACCGCAGGCGTGTTAATAGGACAGGAGTCCGACTCCGGGACGAGGATTCTTCTTCCTCTATTATCTAGTTGCAACCAATTCAATACTGGACCGCAGTTTAGGCCTTCATGATTCAACTGGGAGAACCGATTCAGGTAGTCCTTCAGTATATCACAGGTGTTTCTCGACCGAGCGTCCGGCAGCTTGGTCAGCGAGGAGAATTTCCTGTCGAATATGCAACGGTGCAGCTGCTTGTCGAACATAACAAAATTATCGTAGGATCGTTGCAGGGTCCAGCACGCGTCCCCGGATGTAACTCTGACCGCGTAGCTGTCGGAATCATTGGAACCCTCGCTAAGCGAAACCTGCAATTAAACGATTTCCATTGTTCAATTCTCGACTGGTGGTAACGCAGCGATTTTATTAAGTTTAGTACTCCCTGATTGTCGCTCGACTTGGAAACGAAAATGGACGAATTTGGGAAGAGGAGGTGCGATTATTCCAGTTTTTTGTGGCTCGTTATTGTGTTTTTTTTTGGTGATCGATTACTATAAAAACGAGCCGCAAGGCTCCAACAATCGCGTCTCCTTTCTCTAAATTGTCCATTTTTCTGTACGAGCGGAGCGACGATTAGGGAGAACTTATTGTAGTCAGACTTTACTTCTGGACCAATATTATATTCCAATATTATATTAATTGTTATATAATAATATATAACAATATAATATCATATAATATATGATATTGCATTGATATTGTACCATATTATATTATATTATATTATATTATATCAATTGATATTGATATTATGTCATATTATATTATATCAATTGATATTGATATTATATCATATTATATTATATCAATTGATATCGATATTATATTGATATTATATCATATAATATATGATATTATGTATTAAATATGTATATATAACAATATATTAAATTCGGATCCCGATAAAATCAAGAAACAGTAATTTCGATCAGCGTAAAAATTAATTGTTAGAAATCAAATATTAAAAAAAGAAAAGAAGAAGTAATTGAAGCCAAGCGTCGAGTTCTAGAACTATTTAGAAAGTTAGTGTGTAACCGTGACTGTGTGCAACTGACCTCCAAGGAACTGAGCTCGACGTGCTCGTAATGAAAGTGGGCGCACTCGTCCAATTTCGGGAACCGTGCGATGCTGCCCATGTTGCTGCCCGAGCTGACCGGCGTGCTGAAGTCGTCCGTCCGATTACATCCTAATCCCTGTATCAAACGGAAATATTGATCTACGTCAGTTCACCTTATCCCGTCGTGCATTCTCGATCTAGTAATTAAAGCCATCGCCGTTAATCATCTTTGCACTCTACATCGCCGAAAGCGGATTCCACGAGCGTCTTTCACCCCTTGCTGGAAGAAGACTCGCCCCGTTGCGACTAGACCGCGGAGACTTTATGCGAAATAAGAACCGTCGAAGTTCATCGTGAGAAATAGAATGTTGGAATATTTTTGTTATCGTTTAGAGGCTGTGGATTTCACGCAATTATGTGAGCAAAGTGCGAGCAAGTAAAAGAAGAGGAAATTAAGGGAATCGTGTTACTCTTTGTCTCAATCTTTCGATCTATTGAAACTATTCGAAGAAGACATTCACGCGTTACTGTTTCGTTTTTGCATTCTGCATTTTGCTATTTCTGCAGACAGTTTTTACTTTGCATAAAGATCCGCGGTCTAGTTTATTATTGATAGCGAAGAGTGACTGTGCGACGACTTGTATAGGCTTTGTCTGCAAGCTTTTCGAATGCAAGGAAACGTACAAATTACCAAGGTTCGTCGGCATTTCGATTTTATTCTTTTCACTGTACATATATTTGTAGAAAAGTTCGCAGTGTAACCATAACTGGATGGATGTTATGCGATTATGGGAAAATGAGTAGGCGAAACACGAAATAGCGCTTGAATAGTTTCGAAAGACTAATGCGTTTATGGGAAAACGAGTAGACGAAACACGAAATAGCGTTTGAATAGTTTCGAAACACTATTACTATATTATTATTATTATTATTATTACATTATTATATTATTATTACATTATTATATTATTATTATTATATTATTTTCGATATTCCTGCATAAAGATCCATCGAATTCGATCGCCGCGAATCGAATTATTATTATTATTACTACATTATTATATTATTATCATTACATTATTATATTATTATTATTATTATTATTATATTATTTTCGATATTCCTGCATAAAGATCCATCGAATTCGATCGCCGCGAATCGAAATCCCGGGGACCCCGATTTCTCATTCGCGCGCAGCGTCGCGCGGAATAACAAACGCGCGGATTTATCCGGGCTTTATCGCGGGCCCGGTTTTTCAATAAAACGGTCTATCCCTGATCCGCGAACGTGTTTACGACTCGCATAAAGAAAGTAGCTCGGAATAAAAATCCATTAAAACGTTTTCCGTACCGTTAGCCGTTGATTTATCGCCGGACGAAATGTTTACATCCGCGGGAGATCGGGCCTCGCGCGGTCCCGTATTTTTAAACCACTTTTCCGCGCGGGATGCGCCGCGACGGTACACAATCCGCTACCGATACGCGCCGGGATCCCGACACGAAAATATCGTAAAACGCCCAGACGGATAAAAGAACGGCCGATACGTCGGCTCGTTAAGAATCGTCAAACTTTCCGTCGGATCACCGCTGAAGAGATAACCGCACGCCGGACGACATTTATGCACTCTCTGTCTCGCGAGGATCGTTGGAAAAGCTTGTGAAATAGAAATATTGCACTTTCTTTTATTTACTTAATCGGCGTCCAAGCTTTATTTCGATCGGCAAGCGAGATATCCCGACGATTTTAATCAATTTTCTCCGCGTCGCCTAAAACAGTTTCTTGTATCTTCGTTTTCGTTCATAGCGGTGCACTTAATGGTTTATTAATTACAGGCTTCTCTGACGAGAATACTGAGCCGCCAAATTATTCAATTTTAATGGCTCGAATTTAATTATTAACTGCAACATTGTTTCTGTAACAGGGCATCTACACTTTTTTACAAATTTTACCTAATTATATACACTTAATATACACTAAATAATATTTACACTATACTATATTTACACTATACACATGTCACGATAATAATACAATTATTTTGAATGTTTTTCAATACTTAAAACAATACAATTATTAACACAATACACGCGGGACAGGCGTTAATGACTTTCTAAAAGATTCTACAAATTCTCTTACGTATTTTTAAAAATTCTGAAAATCCTCGTCGTACACTCGTTAACAGAATCTCATCGTTCCTTTCGAAAATACTAAACATTAAGTATCAATATTGAAAACATCCCTCTAGGCGCGCAAGCGAAGCCGCGTTGAAATCGAAGAATGCGTCGACGGGAAAAATTCTAGAAATAAAAATTCACGACGACGGTTTAACCGGCCGATGTGCCGCCACGAAATTCGACTGGCCGTCGTTCGAAGAGAAACTGAGAACCGTGAAACCGATCTTATTATGTAAGCGAGAGGAACGCTTTGAACGAGTTTCGCCGCGTCGCGACCGTTGCTTGCAGAAAATGGTTGCAGTCTGCGAAGGCAATTGAAGGAAGACGGTCCCCGATGAATCATCGTCTTGGTGCGTGTGCCGACGGTGGACTTCCAGCTAACGAGGATGGCTGAACGTCATTCGGGTCATATCGACGCGGCCCAAATTTTTTTGCACGTCGTCGGCGTCGCGTCGCGGGCCTCACTCTCATTTTTCGTTGCCGGCGAACGTTCCTTCCTCGGCGATCGCGAAACAAACAGTCGGTCCAGCTTCGTTGTTTAACACGTTCCGTGCCACGTGTACCATCGATGGTACACGTTTGCATGTTTACTCAGTGAACCGAACAAATTGTTTACAAGAAATTTAGAACCGAAGAATCAATTTCCACCGCAAGAATGGGCGTTGATAAGTTTTTGTTACGTTGTTATGTGTACGAGAATTAATAATTGCACGTAATACATCAAGTTTTAGTAAAATATCAAAGTGTGAAGATTCGAGTAAAAAAAGCTCGGCACGGAACGTGTTAATTTTGGGATGATTTTTACGCAAGGAAAATAGTATACGTGTCGACGATTCAGAGCCACCGTCGTTGTTCTTAAAAAATAAAACGCGAAAGAGAAATACAGTAATGTCTCCCTTATTGACGCTCAGATTGCACACGAAAATGGACAATTTGGGAAGAGGAGATACCATTGTTCGAGCCTTGCTACTCGTTTTTATAGTTACCGATTTTGCCAACGATTATAAGAACGAGCTGCAAGACTCGAATAATCGTGTCTCCTCTTCCGAAATTGTGCATTATTATGGACAATCTGAGCGTCCTATTCTTGTCGAATCTGAAACTGCGAGGACCTGAAATGCAATGTTTCAATTACTTTCGACTGGATTTTATGCATTTATGGGAAACATCGGCGGTCGAAATACGCAATTGCGGAGACATAAGAAGAATTTAAATTAGTTTATTACGTTACTTTCAGCTCGTCGAAATTATTAAAAGAAACAGTTCATTTTCATTGTATTTCTGTTTCTTGCAGTTCTCTTGAAAAATTGCTATTTTGCGTAAAGATTTGCAGTCTATTTACGACACTTCAGAACCAACTTTTTCTTTATTTAAATGCACAGATTTAAATGCAGGTAAAAGATAAAGAACGTTAAGTGTATCATTAATTTTAGAAAGCATATTATTAAATTCATAGTACATTATTAAATTGAAAGTATGTTATTACGTTTAAAATATATTATTGAATTTAATTATGCAGTTTAGTATTTATTCGAATCGTTTCGAGTAAATATGTCTCGAAGATACATATCGGAATAAATTCTTTCGAATAATCCAACGATTGTTCTGCGATTAATCGTAATTCTTCGATAAATAATTCTATTAATCGAGATCTTGGTCGGACATCTCTGAAACATCCAAATACAATGGCACCACTAAGAAGATGAACGCGTCACTTGTCGACGATGAATCAGATAATATGTATACGGGTTTCGTCGGGAAAAAGATCGGAAGTCAAAGCCCGGCCTTTCAGACACGTACAAGGGACTTCCTCTTTAACCGGCGGCAGAAGTGGCGTAGTAGGCTTTCAATTATAAGAGCACTATCAATTATCTCGTTTGTCCAACAAGCTTAAGTCTCGCTGCCGCGAATGCCCCCGACCTACGAATATGTGTAACGTCGACCAAGAAAACACGAAAGTTCGCCGGGCGGTGCATGGCAAATTCTGCACGAAAATCGGGAAATTGTTGCTCGACTTTTGATCAATCGTCTCGCGTGATCGAATGATTTTTGGAAAAATCCATAGGCAAGATTTATTACAATATATTTCTAAATCTAATTGTTTAGACTGCGGCGTTATTTAGGCATTTGTGGTATAAGAATATCAAAAGTGCAATTGAACGTGCATATCGACTGAAACTCGTTGCATTATTGTTCTAATTAATATTATATATTTGTAATTATTATTATTCTAATTCGCCATCAGGAATATATTTATAATACGTTATTATTAGTAATATATTATAATATATAATATATTACTATAATATTATAATATATAAGAATATATTTATAATACATTCCTGATGATGAATTAGAATAATAATAATATATTATAAATATATCGCATAAGCAATATAAATATACACATACATATGAATATTTATAATAACAATGCAGATGAAAATGTACTTTATTTAATATATTTATACAAGTTATAAATTATAATTTCAGCGTGTAATTAAGAAATGTATTTCTTCAGAAGAAAATTAGTTTAAAAGAGAAAAGAAAAGACTGAAAGTATAGCTTTCATTATTTCCTATCTTGAAAAAGTATAAAAATACCATATTTTTTATAGCATACAATAGAGTAAAAATCGCGTAGAAACTTCAATTAAATTAAATTTCAATTCGTGTTCACGTGCATTGAATCGATAAAATATTATAAACCAATAGGTATTTGAACTTTCATCCGGCAAGACACGCCGCGAAACAAAAGATTAATCAGCGCGGTTGTCGCGGGGCTTCAGTTTTCCCGGCTTTCGGATTTCCTCTCGGAGAGGAGAGAATTTCCATCGCAGGAACGTGCCGCACGCACGGCACAGAATCGGCATGGTATAATGATCCGCCTCATTACAATATCGACGACGAATAGCCGGCGACATTGACGGATTAGCAGAAGGTTGGGTGTGCTCGATGGAATT